GAAACACACACCTCTACACACACAATCCCACGCACACACACCCGCCAGTTGCCGCACCCAGATCCATCGTGGTCATCGCCGTTTCTTCCACCTTGCCTTCGTCACGCGTCTCTTCTTCATGGTTACTGTCGCCGGGTTTCACAGGTCGATACGTCAACTCGTTACCACCACGTGTTGCCGGTTTTGCCTGTCACTGCGGTGGTTCGCTTCAACTTCGCCGGCGAATGAGAAAGCAAGGGCAGCGTTTCGATTTGAACCACTACCTGTCGCTCGGGCCGTCGTTCGAAGAGAGAGACCCTTCACCGCTGCGTGTCGCCATTGAACACCTCCAATCGCCACCGTGAAATCGTCCGATGTCTCCGGTAGCTCAAGCCACATCCTCGTCGACTTGATAGGTGGCTTTACCGGCGATTTGAAAATCTGAATTTCATCTTGAAATTGGGCATCTGCTTTGAGAATTTGATTATGTACAAGGACTTATTTGCAATTTTATAATTTTGATTATATCTCAATTTAACCCATGGGTCAAATCTGTAATTATTGAAAGTTAATAAAAAATTAGATTTTATATGTTTTGATATACATATATACTAAATAAAAAATAAATTATTAAATAAAATAAGTTAAATTATTAAAATAATCTTAAAATAACTTATAAAAATAAATAAATTATATAATAAATATTGTAAATAAAATATTTTTTAATTATTTAGTTTAATTCGATTTACAATTATATCTATTAAAAATAGTTATTCCATACACACAATTTTTATGGGAAATTACATATTAGTGCACTTTATATATCGAAACGTTGCACTTTGTAAAACAACACGCCGCACTGTATAAAACAATACGTTGTCACTTTATCACTACACTCTACAGTTGAAATAATGTAAAATATTAAAATATTTTTATAATAATAAGTAAATTGTATAATAAAAATAATAAATAAAAAGTTATTTTAATGATTTAAGTTAATTCGGTGTAAAATTATATCTATTAAATAGTTTTCTGAATACACATAATTTATATGTGAGGGTATAAATTAGTACACGTTATATAGCAGAATGTTGCACTTTATAAAACAACAAGTTGCACTTCATAATACGACAAGTTGCACTTTACCTACACACTCTGCAACTAATGTCACATCTAAAATATCGGATCTATATAATTGCACTTTATATATCAATACGTTACACTTTATATAGAAATATGTTGCACTTTATAATATGACATATTACACCTTATAAAACAACAAGATACGCGTATCAAAAAATCCGGTAATTCTACTAATCGATCGAATAATATTAGTTGGTTAAATGTTGGATTTAGTCGTTTTAAATAAATAAAATAACTACACATGCCAAACTATGTGAAAAATATTACCAATTATTTTCAATTATATATTTTTTAATAAGAAACCGATAATCTTTTTTCTATACATTTTTTATGTATTGCGAGTGCACATCATGGTTATATTAATTGCACATAAACGTCTACAGATTGAATAAAATCGAACGAGATCCAACGAACATAAATTCGGTACCAAATTTTATATATTGTTTCGATTATTATTAGTATTCTTTTATAAATCAAGTATTTCGGTACGATGTCATTTTTTTATTTAAATAACTAAAATAAAGAAATTCAAACTCATATTTAAAACTAATACAAAAGTAATTCTCTCAGGTGGGAGCGATTATGCATTCTCTCAGGTGGGAGCGAAATAGTTTCCGGCTACTCTCCGATCATTTCCCATACTACATCTCTGTTTTTCTTCCATCGCGATCTATTCTCTTCTTCCCATCTCCCTATTAACCTAATAACTCTCACCCAATCTGATTTCCCGACCCTAATCTAGGGTTTTGTTATTATAAGTGATACTCAAGATAATGATTTGTCAAACCAGTTAAGGGATTTCTCCTTATCAGAAAAGGAAGCAACTTATATTGATCTCGCGCAAGATGACATCAAGCTGAGTGCAGATGAATGTCAGAGGAGCCTATTTGGAAAAATCATCGGAGATAGAACTGCAAGCTGGCTTGGCATAAAACGAATGATGAGCAACATATGGAGACTGAGTCAACCGATGGAGATAAAGGAACTCAGCCCAAACTATTTTCAATTCATTTTCCAAAGCCATGAAGATATGAAACGGATAGCAGGTGGTATCAACTGGAGCTTTGAAAACCAATACCTGGTTCTTAAGGAATGGAAAGATGGTCTTTCCAGCAAGCATCCTAGCTTCAAGGAGCTTAACATTTGGGTGCAGGTAACTAACATACCACTCAATTGGTTAAGTACTGAAGTAGGGCTTAAGATTGGCAGAGTCTTTAAACAAATTAAAAATGTGGTGATGGTAAATGCTGGCAATCATGGGGGTAAAATCCTCAGACTCTTAGTCACATTGAATTTAGAGAAGCCTCTACCAAGGGTAGCCAATATTAAGCTTGGTGATCAATGTTAGTGTTATATACTGAAAGCTTGGCTTTGCATGTTATTACACATTTACCCTTTATGAATGAGAATCATGTTAGATTAAACAAGTTCTACGTTCTGTTGTTCTGCACTTAGATAGGGTGGGTCGTCATCGGGCGAACCGAAGATCACTCTATCAATCACTTGCGAACAAGAATAGTTGTTCACAACCTAGATGGACATGAACACCCCATCCGAACGGTTGTAGTGTCAATTGTACAGTTTGTCTTGACTGATTAGTTGCACTAGTACATTTATGTATTGAACAGGATCCCAGAGAGGAGAAGTTCATTTTATACTGATCGTCGTAAATGAACTAGGCCTCGGTTAATTACTGCGTTCTCTTAACCCGTAAGATATTAAACAGGCAGATATATATAATATATATTACTTTGATTCACATGGGTGAGGTTCAGTTCGCTGGATTAATATTCCTACTGTTTTGGGTAATATTATTATATATAGGATGTGCTGTTAGGATATTTACGGTCACCATGTGCGTTAGTTTGATGATGTCCCCGGAGTGAGTTCATGAAGGATTGTTATGCTAAACCCTGCAGGTGGATTAAGTTCCAGCATAATAAGAATGTGATGAACGAGCGCTAGCTTCGGTGAAATAATAATAAATTAATTAATTCTTGATTGTCAGTAATCGAATTAATTAATGGACATTATATCTTAAACGTTGGGAGGTAAATCGAGTAATTATTATTGGAGTCTCAAATGTAATTTGGGCTAGGGAAAGGGAGTGCAACAATATAATGTTGGTGGCCCATTAATATTATTTAATTAATTAGAGGAGTGGGTTTGGCCCACAGTTAGTCTAATTAATTAAGGAGCCCTTTTTTCTAATCTCCTTAGGGTCCCTACTGTAGCTCTATACATACATCATTAAGCTCATGAGAAGAGAATCCCAATCCTATTCACACGTGAATAACGCCGCCCATCTCTCTCTCTCTAGATCTCATTCGAGCTTTATCTTCTTCTTGTTGCTCCACTGGTACAAGTTGAAGAAGGGTGTATTGAGTAATACAGTAGAAGATCTGTAGGTAAACCGAGACGAAATATATTTTGACCTACAGAACTAACCGGAAGTCCGATTGAGACGTACAGTATACCCAGACGACCGTATCGACGAGAGCTTTCCATCGCCGCCGACATCGCCGGAATCCGACGCCGCACGCGCGCCCACGCGCCGCCAGAAGGTGCCTGGCAGCAAAATCTC